ACGAGTTGGTAGAAGTAGGTTGGCTATACGCATTAAGCAATAGTCGTGAGAGGAATATTCTTCATGATTCCTTTTCAACATTCCCAAAGTATCCAATCTTTTCTTATGAATCTCTAAAAATTCTAATCTATCCACTTTCTCGAATTTTCTCTCTCTTCGTTTTCCGTTTCTCGCGCTCAATAATACCATCATCATGACGTTGGAGAGTTACGACGGCGATGTTCACACCGTACCACAATCGGAGAATCCATCTCCGACGTCGATTGACAGCGACAAGGAAAGAGGCGGTGGTGAGCTTTTCGTGCCGCCTCTGAATTTCGCTATGGTGGATAATGGAATTTTCCGTTCAGGTTTTCCTGAACCGGTCAGTTTCAGCTTTCTCCAGTCTTTGCGACTCCGATCCATCATGTAATTTCTCTGATTTCATTCGGTTAATCCTCATATTGTCGTGCTTGATTAGGGCTAGTTTCGATTTGATTCTAGAGTATTCATTAGAAAATCGTAAGTAATTGCCATTTTAGCAGAATCGATTTGAAGAATTTAGAATACTTGGATATTTGAGAAATACGAGCTAGGGTTTATAGAGTTTTTGCTGTTGTTTATATTATTTCATAATCAAGCATTAGAGATTGGAACTCGGAAGAAATTTCTACATGTTTTGAGATATGTGAACTAGTCAAAAGAATTCCCCTGAGTTTGTCTCTAATCTTTTGATCAATTTTTTTGTTTGGACTATTGGTGTAGATATTTGTGCCCGGAGCCATATCCAGAGGTGAATAGAGAATTTGCAAAATCAAATGGGATCCAAGTGTTTCAGTTTGGTATTGAAAGATGCAAGGTGAGTATTGATGATTTTGATTTCTGATCAATTGGTTTTTGGATTCTCTTTGCTTCGTTTCCATGTTGGATTGAAGCCAATGCTTATCAATGTATTTGAAGTTTTGAATCGCCTGTTCTTAGTTGCATAGTGTGAGGTGTATAGTGTTGGTTCAAGTTCATAGCACCAAGATTTCTTATAGTGATGAAATGATTAGTCTTTCCTTCATATTATATCTTTTAACCTCTGAATCTCAAAACAATGGATCATAATGTTTCGTCATTTTAATTTGTTGCGTCTGTTGTGGAAACTTGTGTTTAATCTTGTTTAGCATGTGATGAGGTAGAGTTATGCAGGAAATATGAGTCCATAACATAATTTTATGGTTGTTGATACCGATGTTTCGATGATTATCTCTGTTTTCAGGAACCCTTTGTTAATATCCCGGACGAGGTAATCCGAGAAGCATTACAAGTACTTCTAGGTACACCTATCTTGTCTCTTGAAAACCGCTTTTCTTTTTTGATCATCAAACATATCTAAGTCTGAGTTCTTGTTGCCTTTTTTTTACCAGATAAGGAGAATCATCCTGTCTTAATCCATTGCAAAAGTGGGAAGGTAAGTTCAAATCTCTCTTCCTCCGTAAAAAACCCGAGTCGCGGTTTTCTCTTGATGATCCAAAGAATCCTAATATCTTCTCCCTTGGTTGCAGCATCGGACGGGATGTCTTGTGGGTTGTGTGAGGAAGATACAGAGATGGTGCTTGTCTTCCATCTTCGACGAGTACCAAAGATTTGCAGCTTCAAAAGCTAGAATCTCAGACCAGAGATTCATGGAGCTTTTCGACATTTCCAATCTAAGGCATTCACCACTTACATTTTCATGTTCTAAGAGGTAGTAGTATACTCGTTGATTACTGAAAACAAAACGTATAACTTTATGTGTTGAATCCATAAAAGTTATTAAGCGTTATAGTTATAGATCATTCAATAAAAACCATTTTATTTCCAAATTACATTAATAAAAAACTGTAAGGCTTTGTGAATGAGAAAACAGATCGGAGGTTGTATAATAAATAAGACTCCTTTTAAATGCTAACCATGTAGAACAAGTTTTTTCATTAATTTACGTACTCAAATGAAAATCTTTTAAAGTACAAGTGAAAATAAATTAGTCCGAACTCTAATTGGATTTGATAAATATATTAAATTTGGAAGTATAATATTAAATCGAAATCGTAATTTGGAAGAAACTGAAAAGCTTTAAAAACCCTGCGACTACGAGAGATTCCGAAACAGTCACTCACTGAA